TTGATAACTTCAGTAGTAGTTACACATTACTTGACCATTTGAACTTTGTGCTATTTGCGGACTTGTTCAACAATTCACAGAAACCAATAAGTTACATTGAGGTTTATTAATCTATTTTTGTGTTTTAGCTCATTAACATTTTTTAAGTTTTATATTAACAATCATAATAAAAAATCAATTTACCAAACAGGTTTTTCATGAACGGCTACCTAACGGTGGGATATGAGTTTGGAGCAGAGTTGACGTTCCCTTCTACAGAGACAACGTCGTCAGGTCTACTCAACGCAGTAGGGGAGCTGTGTGGAGTAGCAGCTGTACTGGGGGCGGGGGTCGTGCTAGAGACTTACGGCCCAACTGCTACCAACCTCGCACTCACAGCTGTGCTGGCAGGGGGGTTGGCCACCCTGGCTCCTATATCTAGAGACAGGTATGTGGAAGCTATTTTTTTCACAAGTTAAGGTAAACGTAAATTAGAATACCACTCTAACTCACTAAGAATAATGAATGAATGAATGTATTTCGATAAACATGCAAAAGTCCTATGGCTACAAAAAGCTTTGGCTTCCCCCTCCCCTTGCCAAGAGGTATTGACTGTTAAAACAAGGTTACATCAGAGAACCACTATATGGAAATCAAAATACTGATTTAAATTATATGTGTTTTTATACTTTTTTTAGCAAACTAGTTAAAAAATGCAGTTAAGAAAAAAAAACCTTTGTTGAAAAATTCTGCGCCCCTCAAAAATGACAGCTATAGCCCAGTCAGTTCACATACAAAATGGGGCCTGTCAATGAGATACAATAGTATATTTTTTTTTTTAGATGAATGTAACAACTAAATAAAATGGTGGAGGGGGAATGTATATGCTTGCCACTCTAAGTGATTCAATGTCGATCTGTTCTACAAGTAGATCATCTCTTTACTGGACCCAGGATAAACCCTGCCAGGACCGCTTTAGTAAATGGGTACCGGTAAATGGGTTAAGAGGTTTTAGGTTAATTCGGGGTGCAATTATCTCTTGGGCCCATTTGTACAAACTGCAGGCCCAACCAAAGCCCCACTAGAAAAACAGGCCATGCTTCAGGATCCATATGACGTGCAACAGTTCATAAAATTTTGTATGATTAAATAATATATAAATAGCCTATTACCAGTCAATTAAGCCTAACAGCCTATTTTAAATATAATATGTTTACAATCTACTTCAAACACAAGCTAAAGTAAAAATAATTATATATATATATATATATATATATCTAAACAAAATCTCAAAAAGTAATTTACCCAAATTAAATTTCATATACTATGAATTGGCCTGAGTGACTAAAAAGTAACAGTGAACTTCAAGATCTAGAAGACCTGAATACATTGTTGCTGAAAAACATGTGTTAGGTAACAACTGGATTTCCTCCTTCTTCTACCATGAACTAGCTGGGTGAAAGTTTAAAAACTAGTTTGTATGATTTTTATATTATATTATAATATTTTCTAGTAAAAAGTGAAAAGCTAAACCAATAGTCTAATTATTATTTCAAATAGTTTAAACAAGAATAAATGTGGAAACTTGGAAGAAACTTGGTAATCTCCATCTTATTATTACAGACTATCCTATAGGTGTTGGACAATTTGAGAACATTAGCCTATCTTTGAGGTGGATCGAGTAGCCTCGTAACTGTTAAAATTTATATAGCCTAAAATCTTGATTCAAGTAAAGACTTTTGTTTTAGAACAATCTTATCCAAATTCGATATAAAATTATTTGGTAAAAAAAAAAAAAATCAAAGGCTAACTTTATTATCATAAAAAAAGTTTCAAATTAAAATATTAGCAAGGAAATTGGTAATTAAAGAGAGTTCCAAGCACTAACCCTAAACCCTGAGGCTGCAGACGTCACATTAGTGGATAGATTAATTGATAGATTCACTGCCTTTTTGCCATATCCCATATGTGTAAGATTTTAGTACAACTCTCCACCACTGTGACGTAGTGTTGCGCTGCCCGCACTGCAGCATGGCCTGTTTTTCAAGTGGGGCCTTGGCCCGACCCCTGCTTGGATCAATCACCTGTGCTAGCAAAAATGGTCAGTCAATTTAGTGATTTTGTAATATCTTGTTTTAGATGTCATATGCTATAATGTTATGTTATGTCAATACATTTAAAATTTACAAACAATAATATTAATATTATAAATCTTCTTTCAGGTTGAAAAGATTGGCAGCAAGTAGAGTTCACCCTGAGGACAGCACCATGAATGATCTTCAAATCTAACTAAAATGTTCTTAGGGTTAATCTTGATAACATAATTTGTTAAGTTTTGTAGAATTTATAATCGTTACATAGCATTTATTATTTTTATGTGCTACGTTTCTATAAGAACAGACTTTTTGGATAAGATTACATATAATTAAAGACAGAAAGTGATATGATAGTTTTGATCTATTTATAGGGTATTAAGGACCATGTTAGAGTTAGTTAAATTGTATATAAATACTTTATTCACTAAAGAATTTGCAAACTAATTTTACCTCTTCTTTGCCATAAGCTTAATAAAGATCTTTAGAGCCAATCAAGTATACACGTGTGTGTGTACCTAAGTAACTTTGTGCTGTCTAAATAAATAATTGTGTTTTATACTTTCTATAGATAATATTTGCAGTATTTTATAAATTAGCTATAGAACCAATATTGTAATAGGCTAAGTTATGAAACTATTAATTGTGATATTTCAGTAAGGACTTTAATGTAATTTGTACAGATGTTATTAAATATGAGTTTTTAAACCAAAAATATATTTTGTCTTTCAGTCAAAGTTTGATGCTGTAAGTTATAATGGATGATTGTGTTAAACACCTTGCACCGGCCCTGATTGTTTACATCAGCAACAAGGCTATATTCCGTTCACAAAATTTAGGCGATTTAAGGGAGGTGACTATCTCCCTCCACCTCACCAACTTTGAAACAACTAACTCCCAACAGCTGATCAGCTGATATAAAAAAATGGTGGGGGAACCCAGGAAACCTTCCCCTAGAACCGCCTAAATTTTGTGAACCGACTATACAACTGGCAAGGCAACTGGGTGACAAGCCAGAAGAGAAAACCCTAGATGTCCTAAAATGTCCCTAACTATGTCCCTAGACATACTAATCGTGGCAAGCGAGTTTTTAGGATAATTTTCAAAAGGTTTTGAAAATCTATTACATGAAAATCTACTCACACAACACTTTCTTTTTAACTCGCTTAAAAAAATATATTGAAATTTGTGGGTTGCAATTATCATGCAAACTTATTTTTGTTTTTTGGGATGATTTTAAATTTCAAACATATGACCGCCATTTTTCAATATGGCAGACAACTTAAATACTTTTTTATGGAACACCGTTTATTTCAGGATAGTTTAGTATGTAAATGCAATTTTAAAACTTTTTATTCTTGACATTTCTTCTCTAAAGCTGCTCGTTAAGGAGTTGCAGTGTGTTACACCTAAGAAAAAATTACTTGCGGTGTACATTCTACAACATGTAGCGTTAGCTCCTAAACGAGTACTGTAAATAACAAATATAGAGAGAAAATACATGGAGTAGATAAGTCTTGAAATAAGATGTATCTTCATTCTAATTGATCATAAAATACATTCAAAATATTGATTCTATTGTTAAAAAAAAATACCGCCTTTAATTTAAAAATTCTATTTTGTTGAACAGATTGTAAACTAAACAAAATGTTTAAAGAAACAATTTTCAATCAGCTGTTTTAATTTAAACAAACCGTTAAAACAATGTTAATGCAAGTATAGGCTTGTTATAAACGAGTGTTTTTTACCATCGACTGTAAAATAAATTAATGTGTTGTGGATTGCCAGTTTAAAATTTCCAACATAAAGAATTGAAATTTCACTGAACCTTAAACTACTGTAAAGTAAAAGCCAAAGATAGTTGTAAATAACTCATGAGTTTCATTATATTGCTTTAACAATCAAAATAAACTATACCGGTCCCTGATGCTATATTTTGTAAAATATAAAGTGAGCTATGCATGTAAATAAATATAAGGAAACAACACGGAATAATTGATTTGATAGCATTATAATACTACAGAATATAGATACATTAATACTCATTCATCTACGACACGGTTATTTACTGTATTATAGATTTAATAACGCCTTCTTAACATCACACACTATATGCTATGCAATAATGCTCCTAGCATAGCGGCTGAAACATTGAAGGCGTCGAAGTTAAACCCTCTTCGATCTAAAATCCAACTCGAAAAGAAACGTCTTTCATCTTTGTACAAGATGTTGCAACGCATCTCCCTGGAGACTAAAAATGATTTTTACTCCCTAGAGAGTAAAAATGCTACTTTAGACCCGCAACACATGCATTAAAAACGGCTGTTTTTGTGCAGTATGACGAAAAATGATTTAATATTGCATTGTTATACAAATGTTAGCTACGTTTCAAGTTTCAAGTCACCAGCTCATCGGGGAGTTACCATAGTTTAAAATCGATTGCAAAATTTGTACAGAACAGACAAGAAAGCGAGCTAATAAAAACGTATTAAAAAGTGTTTCAAGGATGTATTGCGAGTAAAATTTAAAATATTTAAAGACTGAAAATCCTTGCTAAATACTCTTAGGCTGATTTTGAAGACTGTTTGAATTGATTTTATAAGATAATGACTCTACTCACACTATCCAAATTCGATTAATAATTCAGAAGAAAATCTTTATTAGCTTCTAAATAAAATATTCAATAACTTCCCTGTTTTTTTGCACAAATTATTTCAAGCATTCAGTTTGCCTACGGTCAATAAAAATGCAAATTAGAACGAAATGCCAAAGTTCGAAGTGATTGACCGGATAATTTATTTGGAAGGTGTCAGCGATTTTCAACAAACCGGTGCTTATGTTGCGAACCGCGACGCCCTAGGTAGGAGGTTAGGTTAGTGCCAATTCAGTTCTTGCCTTGCGTACTTCAGTACCTCTGTGTAGTGTAGAGTGTGTGTTCGTGAATGCGCGTGTGTGTGGGATTACCAAACTGGCGGCACCGACACAGCTGGCAAGGTAAAACAGCTGTTTACATTACCAAATGTTCGTTTCCGTTTAAAAATTGAAGGTTATGTCATATTCGTGCATGAATTTTTAGTGGTGGCCTGATAAAACATTATGTTAGGAATTGCCGTCTTAAAAACCGACTTTTAAGAATTGTTTGAAATTCTTATGTGAACATAGTTAGTTAAAAAAAAGTGATGAAAACCCCAATGATTCGCTAAAGAACATGAATATCTCAACTAACCATGTTAAATAAGCTTCAAGTCTCTATAAAAAATAATACCGGTTTATTACTGAGATATTCACTTAGCTGATGTGAAATCCCAAGTCACCTTATTTATTGCTATAAGCTGATTATTTTAACAAATTATCAAACAAAATTTTTGCTTTTGTCAATCTCGTAGAAACATTTAAAATAAAAGATAAATCTTACTATTTTGTCATTAAGCGCATTACAACGCTTAAAATAAGCTAAATCATTTGTTTTAAATTAAATTATTTAAGGAAGTATAATTGCAAAGTTTTATGTTTTTACTCGTTCGAATACAAGTAGGTTTACACGTGATGGGATTGATCTTAAGACATTATAATATGTGTATTTTCTAACAGAATTTAATCTGTCCAAAAGGTCAAAGAAAACACTTGAAACCTGAAAAAGCAAATAGATGATCAGATAATTTTGAGAAAACGAAGTGCACATAGTGGACAATGGTTGAGTAATAGCGGTAATATATTATGTTGTGGTATTTCCATTATTGATCTTACAAAGGAATATCACCCACGCCTTATTGAATTGGAAAACTTTTACCAAACCTAGACGAGTAATCTTCCACCAAAACTATCAGAAAAAGAAAATCAACCCAAATAGTGAACAAAACGCGATAAAAAGTTTATTTGACCGGTTTTAAACCGGTTTCCTGATAAGTTTTTACGCTTGGCCGCTGCCTATCTTATTCCATTGGTTTCAGTCTCTCCTTTACTTTGTTTGTGTAGACTTCTACCTATGTGTAAAATCGGTGTTGAATTGCTATCATTTGTTGCCGTGAACAAAGTGTCAAGTATTGTCTCCAGAATAAAAACCCTGCAACATAATATGTTTACTTCAAGCATACAAATATTCGGCGCAGTGTTGTAGTTTATTTTTTACAGTAAGTACCAGTTTCAATAATAATCAATTATCAATCATTGAGATAGGGACGCCACCTACGTGTGCATATTAACCCAAATATCAAGGATAGTTTAAAAGCCTGATATGTATTATTGATTTAACTTTTATTTGAATTTCTTTTGCTGTACCGAAAATGGCATTATACCACAGCCACTACATGCTATGTCATACAAACAACTAAAAAACAATACCTATTTGCTCATCAAAAATATAGTAGTGCGAGGGGACCTGCACACATTGCACAATTGAATTGGGAAAACTTAATTCCAAGGCCAGTATAACAACGCAACAACTTTTTTACTTTTCAAAGAACTATCGATTTACACCAAAGATTGAAGAGTGATTTACCTTACTCAATCAGGCTGCATAATTGTCAAAAATATATATTATCTGAAATATCGTTTTCGTTGCCATTTGAAGGTGCACTAGATCATAAGCTTTAAAATGACACCTCAATCGTGAAAATCAGTTAAGTAGGACGGTTGGAAAAGGGATGTAACATAGAAACCCCTTACAATATTAAGTATATACTGTATATATAGAAACTGTATGTATAGATATATATATATATGTATATTTACTGTATATATATAGATGGTTTTATTTTATATAAAGATTTTAGAACCAATAGAATCCTCCAATTAAACACTGATTAGGATTACACGCAGGTACATGCTGCAAAATTCATGTTGAAGTCATTTAATCCTTTCGCAAAAAAATCAATAGGACAACAGAAACATATGCACAAGCCATAGTTATTGTATAAACGACTAAACCAGTTGTAGTTTTATAATCTACGGTTTACACAGAGATCATGCCTTATCTCCATTATGGAAATGCTACGTGATAACTAATATAAAGCTGTGTTTGTACATTGGGAAAAATGGACGTGATTTGTTTTAGAGTTCCAGAGACTTTGCCGTAACACGATAACATTTCCATGTTTAAAACAGTCATATTCATGAAGAGTATATGAATATTTGTTGCAAATGTTAATTTAAATAGCTAAGTTGACACTATTCAGATGTACTAACATGTACTTGTACGAATAAAGATATTTTGATTTGGTTTGATTTCATATTAATATTGAACCTAAAATATTTGTGGCTCTTGTAGATAAGCTAGTGTACTGTTTACTAAGGTAAAACAATGCAATCTGGAATCATTACAGACACGTTGAAAATGTTCTACTGTTCTACTTACAACAAAGAATCGTTGGGTAAAAAATATCAAGTAGCTTTCTCTTGAAAAATTTTACTTTTGGTATCGGAATAAAAAATTTGAAATGCTGGCCAAGCTGCTAGTTTTTTTAAAATTTGTAATTAGAAATATATGAGAAAATATATATTAGAAAATAATGAAAATATAAATAAAATAAAAAAATAATTATTTTCAGTGTGTGACACCAAAATATAAATTAAACCGAATAGTACTTCTGTTTTGGGATGACGTTTGTTTCTTTTGAAATGCGACTACCACATTATGGCTGCTATTATTTAATCGACATTGCCTCGGTAATTTGAATAATAGTGAGTTTAATAGTAGGTATACTAATAGTATAATAGCAAGTGTACAAAATGGTTGTAGTAAAAGCATTGTTTCTTCAATTTTATGACAACCTACTTTACTCGCCGGCCTCAAAATAGAACAAACATAGATTAACAGTCTTAAAAGATGTGTTTCTTCCTTCGTAAACCTAACAAAACTTTATCTTTAAGTTTAAATTAGCTCTAATTAACCTTCAACCTTACGTCATTTTTGTGACGAATATGACATTATATCCAAGGATTGGGATTAAGATTCTATAGCTTCTATTATGTCCTAACTATAACCAATATATTCATTCAATACAATGCATTAACTTCATTAGTTTACCGAGTTTTCAAATAAAAATAACAAAATTACGTTTTAATAAACATATGTATTTTATTTTCAACAATTATTAGTTTTTGGAAGCATGTATACTTGCTGCAAATTGCAAATGAGTTTACTTTTACAAATAAAATCATCGCTATAACACCACACATTAAGTTTACAGGGTAATCTTACATTTTTTGTGGTGGAGCTTAAAGTAAAAAATATCAAACATTCCAGCATACTTTTTTAGAGGATTACTTGTATCCTAGCACAATATCTTGATCGTAATCATATGAGACACAGCAGGATGAATAGTCCTTGTTCTCGAAATAAACTACTGAATACTGTAGGCCTACTGCAATACAATCTTTTTCATGTGATTTTCATTTTCAGTATGTTTTGAGATTGAGTATATGTTGTTTTACAGGGCCGACGAGGAGATGACGTCAGCAGAGCAAGCCCTCAAGGGGGCGCCAGGTACGATCCCAAACTACGGCGCTGTAGAACATGACCCCCTCCTGCCCGGTCTGTAAATATATGTATATACATACGCTCTAAACTAGGCTGCATGATACAGAATGTTATGGCTGCCTGGTACTTGTAACCATGTTCATATCTGTATGTATGTATGAGACGCTAGGGTGAGTGCCTCAGTAGGATAGTATAAATATCTGGAACTACTGCACTAGATTAGATTACGACCCATATAATACACACCATAGTCAAACTTGTAGTTTTAGTCGTGTGAACTGTGGTAGAACATTAAAACACTTTCAGATTTAATCGGATTATATTTGAGACACCACACCAGTCAACAGTACATAAACATTACATCATTACATTCAGCAACCGACAGCAGGACTACCAAAATTACAAAACGTATTAGCCTATGTGCAAAGCAATGTACCAATCTATTAGGCTACATCTTTATCACTAGATTACAGTGATATATATATAATAATACAACAGTCAACGTGAAGATGATTGTTGATGAAAAATATTATGATTCACGTAGGCATCTGCTCAAAGATAGGCTGCATGTTGTAGTGCAATATATCTAAATATTTGCATGCGTTGAGCTGTAGCCCTGCGTTGAGCTGCGGTTATAGATCTACCTGCTTGAATGAACATATTGATACATTTATATTTTACGTTACTTACTACAATTCATTATAAAAATTAATTTTTAGGATGCTGTCAACTATATAAACAGTTTTTACAATGATTTTGTAGCAAGTAATGGCGTACGGGTACGATTCACCCATAAGGCCAATGCAATCATCGATTGAATAAGCAATTTTCCATGTTTAAATTTCATAACTATTTTTAATTTTGTTAGACTTAAATTGGAGTGTAAATTCAATAATAAAAAAAAAAAAACAAGATGCTATACTATAGAGACCATACATTTTTCACTCCTCTTGGTTTTCATATTTTTCATTAGACTGCTAGTTAAACATTCATTGTTGTAACAGTGATAAGAGAAATACTTCACTACCGGTCTCATTACTTAGTGATTTAATTAAATATGACTTAGGGTTAAATATGTATCAGCAAGTAAAATACTTGTTATACACTGACTCAATGTAAAAGCTTAGTGTGCATAATCATTGCCCCAGTTATCGATCGAAGACTACTTCAGTCAGCTGTTTGTCGTCTGCACCTCCCTCCCCTTTCCCGCGAATTTGATCAACCCTCTATCTGTAACCCTTGAACAGCTGTGCTGCTGTGCTTAGCTGGAGCAGGAGGCTGCAGTATTCATCTCTAAAATCTTTATCTCAGTCTGTTATTGTTTTATTTCCTTCCTCACCTATCTATTAACCACTTTTTTCTAAACATCCCATAATATTAAGTATCATGTAGTGTTTATTACAGTTGAATAGAACGACTTTTAATCAATAGCTGGCTTGTCAAGATCAAACCACTTTGTTCAAATAAATATGACAAGTAAGTAGTGTGAAGATATTAAAAAATAATATAGTAGCCATAATGTAGTAGTAATGATTTAGATATTTATAATTTCATCATAAAGTCATCATAATAACATTATAGCCTAATTTCTAAACCACGTTTGCAATGTAGGCTACTGCAATTTCATTTGAGTGTTAGGCCTAGTATTTTTAGAAAACATCTTGTGCAGTTGCGATTATGCTTAGTACTATTTTCTACTCTTGATACGCAAAATAATATAAGTAGGCCTACGTTTTACATTCATTAGTAGAGTTTATTTTTGTCCAGAAATAAATTTTAGTCACAGATTAGTTTTTAACATCTAACTTAATTCAAGCCAAAATTACCAGGGTTAAACTAACTTTTTGTTTAAAGTCACTAGTTAACTAATACATTTAAAAAGTACCTTAGATCCCTACTTTTCAAATTACATTCAACAAAAATTAAAATAAGGTGAAATAGAAAATTTCTATTTCACATTATTTTAATTTTTGTATGAATTTAATAGTCTCCATATCATTCATTCAGGCTATTCATCAGAATGTTTATCTTTTAAAACTTTTTTATTTTTAAATTCCAATACCGTAATTGGATTACCTCACTGTAATGGATAATTACGAGCAATAATTATAGATTACCGTAAATAACAATTCCATTACAGTAATTCCATGGAATAACGTTCAAAATTTTTGTATTCTTAATTACGGGCACTTAGAGAGTTGATTCTGACAAAAACAAATAGCATTCGTATTAAAAAAAATTGTTTTTCAATGTCGAGCAATTCATAAAATAAACATATGAAAAGTGTACCGAACCGATACATTTACTGTATTGTATTTTTTAATTTTAAAAGGACATACTTAAAAATTATACTGATCAATCCTCCTTAAACATTTTGGACTAGAGTGGAAAAGTGTTAAGTTATGGTTTGATTTTAAGAAACTTGGTTTAAAACTTAAAACATGATGATGAGAAATAACTTCAGAAGCAAAAAGCAATTCAAAGCTACTACTGTGAGCGCTCTAAACTATAAATTGTTTTAAAACTAAAGATCTTTGTCTTATCTATATATAAATAAATCAGAGTAGGATTCATTTAGCTATTAACATATAGTTGATAACAATTGTAGACTATTCTAGACTACTTGACCTTTTAGAGAGTTTTAGTAAAGAAGTTTTAAACAAATATTATTTTGACACTTAAGTTTGTGAGATATTGTTTTCATACACTTCAGGTATACCTACAGTTTTTTGACTTTTGTTCATTTCGAAAGGTAAGTTAGAATTTCAGTATGGCAGAATTTCATAATAAAACAGAATAATTAATTAAATCTCTGTTGATTTTTGATTGAAGAAATACTCAGTAGTAACAAGTTTATACTTAGCACATTACATTTAAAAGAATTAAAGTCATTGGAACAACAATACCGAGAGATGTTATTATGTAGATATTTCAATCAGAATGACATAATGAAGTATGTATTTTTTAATAGAGAGGGTTGATACGAACGAAAGGTTTAAAAATATATATACTGTTGTACTTAAGCATTAAGCATAAAAGTACCTACTTGAAAAATGCAAAAAATGGGGATTTTACAATAATAATTATATATTGTTAACCTGCCTATGTTAGATAGAAATAACCTCTATTCATCTATACTCAGTTTGCTGAAACCTGTATCTGGGGATGGTAATGTTATGTAATATGATTCCTTTTGTACTGTCAAATATTTATTCAGCTGTTTTATTTAAGACTGTTTTGTTTATGTATGTAATGTTTACAGTTTTGTGCAATTCTCTCATGTAAAATGTAGCTGACTATTAAGTTGAATAAAACCATATAAATTTGGTTTCTAAACATTTCTTTTCATAACAATTTATTCAACTTAATCTTTTAACTATATTATTACAAGTTCTTCTATACAAGTTGTATTCTATCTTTTCTATTCAAGTTTATTCCAAGAAATCTAAATGGATAAATTCTTCAAGCCGGAGCGCCTATCTTTAGACCCTAATGATCCCCATTCTGATCGTCAGTGGAAACATTGGAAAACCACTTTCAAGAATTTTGTGGAAGAAATATGTGCTGCAGAAGATGATCTACTAAAACTTCTAACTAATTTTGTGGACTACAACATACATGAAATAATCTCAGAGGCTGATTCTTATACTGAAGCTATATCTATTCTTGACAAACTCTTTATAAAGCCTACTAATGAGGTATATTCACGTCATCAACTGGCCACTAGAAGACAGGAACCTGGAGAAAATATTGATCAGTATCTTCGAAAACTAAAAGAACTTAGTAAAGCATGCAACTTTAAATCTGTCACTGCTAATGAAAATCGCAACGAGTACATAAGAGACGCTTTCATTCGAGGACTAATATCACAGTCCATTCGACAAAGACTTCTTGAAAATCTAACTTTGACTCTTGAAGAAGCTTATAATCAAGCCATTACCTTGGAATCAGCTGAAAATCAGGCGGTTTCATATATTTCAAGCCCTTGTAACTCTATATCTCAGTCAACTCCTAAAGATGTTGATGTTACTGATACAAATGTTTCTCAGGCAGCTTCTGATTCGTCTTCACACCAATTATCCTCGATAAGAAGAGAAAAATGTTTCTTTTGTGGACGGTCACGACACTCTCGAGCCAACTGTCCTGCCAAAGACTCAGTTTGTAACATTTGTGACAAGAAAGGCCATTGGGCAACAGTTTGCAATTCTCGCAACCAAAGTAGGACATTTAAGGGTAAAACAACTCAAAGTGATAAGACAAAAATAAACTCAATGTCTTCTTCTCTTGTTGCTGCCTCACAAAAATGTCTTTCAAAAGCTACAGTGTCGCTGATGTTAAACGGCAAACCAGTAGATGCACTCATTGATACTGGGAGTTCCGACAGTTTTATATCTGAAGCTACTGTGAAAAGATTCAATATTTCTAAATACCCAACAAAGCATGAAATATCGATGGCATCAACAAGTCATGTTTCATCAACTCTTGGCCACTGTATTGTTGACATGGTGTGCGATGGCCACGAATACCCACTGACAAAGCTGCTCATCTTAACTGATTTATGTGCCGATGTTGTAATTGGACATGACATCCTTCGGCAACATTCTGCTGTGGAGCTGAATTTCGGTGGTAAACGCCCACCCTTCAATGTTTGCAATCTACTTAGGGCTAAAGTATCACCACCACCACTGTTTGATAATCTAACTAATGACGTCAAGCCTGTAGCCATCAAGTCCCGCCGCTACTCTGAAGATGATAGTAAGTTCATAAAAAGTGAAGTAAGTAGGCTTATATCAGAAGGAATAATTGAACCGAGTAAATCACCTTGGAGAGCACAAGTGATTGTGGTCAACAATGGGCACAAGAGACGTCTCTGTATTGACTACTCTCAAACCATCAACAAATTCACACAGCTTGATGCCTACCCTCTACCTCACATTGAATCATTTGTCTCTAAGCTTGCTCAATACAAAGTGTTCAGTACAATCGATCTGAAGGAGGCATATCACCAAATACCTATTCGGAATGAAGATAAACCATTCACTGCATTTGAAGCTAATGGGAGACTTTACCAATACACTCGAATTCCTTTCGGCGTAACTAATGGTGTGGCGTGTTTTCAAAGAACTATTGATCAGATTATAGAAAATGAAAATCTACTAGACACGTTTGCTTATCTGGACGATGTAACTATTTGTGGTCGTAGCCAAGCAGAACACGATCAAAACCTACAGAGATTCATGGAAGCAACTAAAAAGTATAATCTTACCCTGAACAAAGAAAAATCTAAGTTTTCGTTGACCAGCATTCCAGTTCTGGGGTACATTGTAGAAAACATGTCCATGCGTCCTGATCCTGACCGCCTGCAATCACTCTTGAATTTCCCCGTTCCAACTGATAATGCAAGCCTTAAAAGAGCTCTTGGCATGTTGTCCTATTACGCAAAGTGGATTCCTAAATTCTCTGAAAAGGTTCATTGCCTTACTACAGTCAAATCATTCCCAGTAGGCAGTAAAGAAATATTGGCCTTTAAGACATTAAAAGAAGAAATAGCGAACTCCAGTATGTCTGCAGTTGAAGAGAATATTCCATTTACTGTAGAAACAGATGCATCTGAATCAGCTATAGCGGCTACCCTTTCACAAGCTGGAAGGCCAATATGTTTCTTTTCAAGAACCCTAACTAAGAGTGAACAACATCTACCTGCTGTGGAAAAAGAGGCCCTCGCAATATTCGATTCAATACAGAAATGGAGGCATTTCCTGATTGGAAGACGGTTTAAATTAATTACAGACCAGAAATCTGTGTCATATATGTTCAATCAGAAACACGCGGGAAAGGTTAAGAACAACAAGATTTTAAAGTGGCGATTGGAACTAGCACCTTTCTCTTATGACATAGTGTACCGTTCTGGCAAGGAAAACGTAGTAGCAGATGCATTTTCACGAGTTTCATCTTCCATCTCTTGTAGAGATTTCGAAAAACTCCGTAGAATTCATTGTGACATTGGGCATCCTGGAATAGTACGGATGGTTCATTTCTTAAAAAGTAAAAATCTCCCTTACTCTATCGAAGACGTCAGGCGAATGACCGCTTCATGCTCTGTTTGTGCGGAAGTGAAACCTCGGTTCTACCAAAAAACCCCATCAACACTCATCCATGCAATGGCTCCTTTCGAGAGACTTAACATTGATTTTAAAGGGCCAATACCATCTGTGACAAGGAATAAATACATACTCACGGTTGTTGATGAGTTTTCAAGATATCCGTTTGCCATTCCTTGCTCGGACACATCAGCATCTTCTGTTATCAAAGCACTTACATCAATCTTCACCATCTTTGGTATGCCTGCTTTTGTCCACTCCGACCAAGGTTCTGCTTTCATGTCAAAAGAACTGAGTGATTTCTTACACTCTAAAGGAATCGCCACTAGCCGATCTTCACCTTATAACCCTCGAGGTAATTCTCAAGCTGAGCGATATAATGGAACGATTTGGAAGACTGTATCTCTTGTTCTAAGAAACAAGGGACTGAAGACAGAACAGTGGGAGTATGTTTTGCCAGAAGCTTTGCATTGTATACGCTCGTTACTATGTACAGCTACGAATGAGACCCCACATGAACGACTTTTCAAACACCAGAGACGATCATTTTATGGCACCTCTCAACCTCAATGGCTCATGAATCCAGGACCAGTATTAGTGAGAAGGCATGTAAGAAATAACAAATATGAACCTTTAGTGGAACAAGCTCAGCTGATAGAGGCTAATCCAGACTATGCTCGCATCATGTATAGAGATGGTAGAGAGGCTCTGGTATCGGTGCGACATCTCGCTGTTCCTCCTGAAGCTATCCAACAAGAGGATGAGCCAGTGACTTCGGAAAATCCCAGTCAAGAACTAGATCCTGCTCTTCAAGACCTGAGACGTGAATCAAATCTGCTTCAACCTGAAATTGGGAACTCTATTCAATCTGAAATCGAAACATCCCCTCTGCATGAGACCGTGACCCCTACTTCTGTGAGGGATAACGAAGAAACAAACCTGCGTCGTTCCACTAGAGTCCGAAGACCTCCCACCTATCTAAGGGATTACATTTAAAAAAAAAGATGGGGTGAATGTTATGTAATATGATTCCTTTTGTACTGTCAAATATTTATTCAGCTGTTTTATTTAAGACTGTTTTGTTTATGTATGTAATGTTTACAGTTTTGTGCAATTCTCTCATGTAAAATGTAGCTGACTATTAAGTTGAATAAAACCATATAAATTTGGTTTCTAAACATTTCTTTTCATAACAGGTAATGGTCAGGTCTGGGCCAGTTCTAGGTAGACGAAGGGTCAGGAGACTTGTTCCATCATACAGACTGTAATGTTCAACTTGTAATGTTGTCTAGTCAGTGTTTACGACACGATCCTCTCTGCCAATGCCTGACATTTTGCCAGTTGGACGTTTGCCCCATGCCAAGTTTACTATTCTGCCTAGGTCACTCCCCTTACTGCCATATGTATTAGCCGAGTCTAGAGATGAAAACATTTGTTTCTATTTGTTTTTGAATAGTTGAGCATATGTGTCTAACAAGCCGAGTGGTTAATGCCTCAAAACTTCAATGGAGGAAACGGGTTCAATTCATGGCATTACAACAAATTGAAGGGCTTAGATCTAAGCTCTTCGTCGACTGCTTTCCATTAAGAAGGATAAACAATTTCTCAATCCAAAATGTCACTTGTGATTAATTAATAGTGTTTATTATTGTGTACTAATCCCAGAAAATATTTTGCATTCATAACAAAATAAAATACGAGGCATGTTTTTTAAGTAAGTACCGTTTTTAAATTTCTCCGTTCCAGCACTGCGATTGGCATTTTCGACATTTGCGCTGTGTAGGTGCATCTATTGGTAAGACCTAGCCGGAAATTTGAGAACAATCGGCAGTGTTTACATCCGGTTTCGAGCATTAAAAATGGTGCCACCAATTGAGACTGCCGCCGACTGTGAAGTGCGTGTTGTAATTAGATTTTTAAGTGCTAAAGGTGTGAAACCATTGAAAATCATCGAAAGATTAGTGAAGTGTATGGCAAGAACATTATGAGTGACGGAATGGTACGCACGTAGGTAAGGGCATTTTAAGACGGCCCCACCAACGTTCATGGTGAGCAATGCACTGGGTACTACGCCGCCCAGTGCGTTGCTCACCATGAACGTTGGTGGGGCCGTCTTAAAATGCCCTTACCTACGTGCGTACCATTCTGTCACTCATAATGTTCTTGCCATACACTTCACTAATCTTTCGATGATTTTCAATGGTTTCACACCTTTAGCACTTAAAAATCTAATTACAACACGCACTTCACAGTCGGCGGCAGTCTCAATTGGCGGCACCATTTTGAATGCTCGACACCGGATGTAAATACGGCCGATTGTTCTTGAATTTCCGGCTAGGTCTTACCAATAGATGCACCTACACAGCGCAAATGTCGAAAATGCCAATCGCAGTGCTGGAACGGAGAAATTTAAAAACTGTACTTACTTAAAAAACATGCCTCGTACACCATTATTTAAATGCAACAAATAAGTTTTTCTTCACAGGAATTATGGTGTAATGAAAATTTAAATTAACGTTGAGTAAAAAACCAGATTAACGGAATTTCCGATTTTACATTATATGATCACGCAAAAAGTTTTTGGGCAATAATTATCAGCATTTACTGGGTTGATATCAATTATCAGTATTTATTAAAAATAATAAGTTTGCCTAGTACAAAAAATATCTAGCACATTCATCAAACAGTAGCACTCTGAAGTGTTTAATGAATTTAGTAAAGATTTATCCACGTGAGGTGAACAGCAACAACTGTTGTTTCTGATACGAAGCACTTGAAACAAGGTTGATGTAATCTCAGCCACAAGTTGGTTACCTCTCAATATCACCTATTGCTACTTATTGCTTGTTTGGTACTTATCAACCTAGTATAACATCAGTAGAGTAGCATAAAATTGTTAATTACGGTAGAAGAGGGTGCTTGGGTGAAGTCCATTTTTGAGGTATGGCTTGCACCATGTAATATTGTTCTATTTAAGTGATATTTTTTTAGTTCTATAAATTATTTTTTTGACTGTGTTGCTGCTGTGATATTTGGTGTGGATCAATGTCTAGATATAAAGTAGTTGATATTACAGTCTACTCAGGACTACTAGTTTAGAGATGATGTACTTTAGTCATGTAAATGTTTTAGTTAACTCTTAGTAGATTTATTCCTGCAGAGTTGTTTATTTGTTAATTTATAATTGTTTTGTTTCAATGTCAGTGGTATTTTGCAAAAGAGAACACTATGTTTCAAACTACTCAATGTTTGAGTAGATATCCTAGAGGACACGTAAATTTGAAATGCTCAACACTAAGCTAGCAACATTCTGAGAGTTTAAGGATTTATGTAAAGTTAGAGCATTTAATTTTCCTCTTGTAACATAATAATTCTATTTAGCCAAAAGCAGAAAAATATATTTTTTAAAGTTTAACAGAAATTGTTTTACTAGTTGAATGTTTGTTTGGTTTGAACAAGACATTAAGTTGTAAACCGAATTAATCAACCAACCTTGGGATGAACATTTCTAAAATGTCATCCAAGTCGTTACTTAGATAGATCGGTTTGTTAAGTTAAGGTCTTTCAATGAAAAATGCCAATTGATCTAAAGACAGATTTGTTCAGAATTTAGTTGCTATATTCTAAAATGTATTGACTGACCATGAATGTACACATTAGGGTTTTAATTGTTTCCTCAAACAAAAATTATTATAAAATACCTATGAAAATTAAATCCAGGAAAGAATACAAATCTCAGCATGTGTTACGATAATATGTGCTCAAATGCTTCTGCAGTGTCAGTTCACAGAAACCTTTTTTGAGATAACATTTCAAGGATTCTTAAAAACATTAATTGATATTCTGCCTCCTTGATTGCAGTGATGGGGGAGCACTGTCGCGTATACAGAAGGCGATGGCTTGTGCTGACTCTATTTGCTCTATGTTCCTGCGCCAATGCAGCCCACTGGATCCAGTATTCCATCATAGCCAATGTGTGTATGTACTATTATGATGTCAGCGCCATCTATATCAACTGGACGTCTATGATATTCATGGCTGTCTACATACCATTGGTCTTCCCTGCTTCGTGGATTTTGGAGAGAAAGGTACATTGTGTTTTTTTTCTTTGAAGGTAATGTTTAGTGTAAGCATAATAATATTGCCAGAGTGGAAGCATTGAATTTTGCATAGCTTACTGAAGTAGAAATCCTATCTATAATGGATCTATAATGGTATTCAATTTTTGAAGGACTTATAGTTGAATGAGCAGCTAACATACTTACTGTCAAACATTCTATTTCCTCCCTTAATTTGTGTCACTGTGGTAGTGGATCTGGCATGAAATGTGCTAGTGGCTACAAGTCATCCATTCAGTTTATTAATTACTTACTTACTCCTAGGGCCATTTATATTGGAGGTGATATATTTAACCGCACCAACAAATCTTCGCCACGTTATCCGGTCCTCTGCATCATCATCTACTGCTCCAATTCTTTCCACGCCTGCTTTTACTTGTTTTCACCATCTCTGTTTTGGTCTTCCTTGAGGTCGCCTTCCAACCGCATTTCCCTCTAATACTCTTCTCAGTTTTGCATTCTTCGCCTCTACTCAATACGTGTCCGGCCCATCTGATTGTTCGGCACTTAATTAATTTTCCCAATTATATCTGTGCTGTTGTAAATCTTTTGTATCACCCAAATATGTTGTCGTCTTCATTCCCCTTGATCACATATAGTTCCACAAATTTTTCTTAGAATTTTATATTCTAATACACTTAGTTTTGTTTAATTTTTCTTATTTATTTTCTATGTTTCTGATCCGTATAAGAGAACTGGGCAAATTATTGTTTTTTTATAACCATTTAGTTTTACGTTGACTTATTTCCTGTCTCTCCTTAGCGGGAGCATAGGGCATCCAGAAGAGCTCGCCATCCATCCCTGTCCTGTGCCAGATCTCTTAGCTGACCCCGTCTTCACGAAACTCAGAGCTTCCTTCGTAACTGTTCTTCTCCAGGTGTCACAGGGTCTCCCCCCTTTCTCGTCCCTTGGGGATTCCATTTCCAGGGCCTTCCTTTCAATTGCCCATTCAGAAGAAGGCCCATTCAGTTTCACCTGGGCATAAAAAGTAATTCAGATCTGCGCACTTCGTTAGTTGCACAGTTTAACTCCATAAATTTCCATTCTAAAACTGGCTATAACCTTTGTGAAGAATGGAATGACTATAGTGTTGTTAATATTAAACTTCAAACCCCCTATCCTATCGAAAGTGGCTCATACCAACACCCCCAGTCAAAAGGAGGAAGTACCACCTCCCGACACCACAAGTCTGCCATGTGTAAAGGTTTTGTAACTATTACAGTCATTAGTGGTAGTGATGTAAGAAGAAAAGAAGACCCCCTGGAAATGCCACTCATGCTGAAAAAATGCAAAAAGGATGATTTACCACATTGTCAAAAAGTCATCCAAACATAACTCTACTCTCGTCAAAAAAATTAGGGGGTTTTAGAGAAAGAGATCTTTCTCCTCCACTTGACCCTACCTTTAAAACAATAGGGCAACAGCTGAGGTTTGCCAAAACGTTAAAGACCTGCATCATAATAAATTAAGCAAAAAATTAGTGGGGGAACTTCCTCTCAAACCGCCTAAATTTTGTGAACGGACTTTAGTGAAGTTAAGTTCTAATATATCTGCAAAAACCTAATATAAAACCTTATTATATTTTGTCATTATTAATTTGGTGTTTCAGGGTTTGAGAGTTGCAGTGATCCTAGGAGCCCTTCTTATGTGTGTTGGTGCTTGGATAAAGGTGTTTTCTGCTCAGCCTGACAGGTAAGAGAAAACAATTGCTCTCAACTAAATGTTATATTAGTTTACTGTGTTAGATTATATTTTACTGTTTTGAAATGTTCAAATGTTGTTGGTACAAGTAAAAACCGTTGAAATTTGCTTAATAACTAGTAGAAACAGAATTTGACATTGACATTAGAGTCTTAATACAGTATAGCACTCCTCGACCTTTTCTGGTAACATGGATTTTAATTTGAAAATAAGCTCTGTGCAACCAATGCACAGATAAATAAGGTACAAAGGAACACCCTTATGGTACAACACACTTTCAGCTCTGGTATGATGTGCGGGAAATATACTTATCACGAGCAAGGAAGAGCCCAAACAGCAAACACCGTGTGGAAATTCCTATCGTACAGGGACAGGGTGTTTCTCCACCGTTAGCATTGTGTTGTAGTACACGAGGCCAAGGGGGGCGTAGTTGGTCTTTGCCCTAGACACCAGTACTAGCGCTAGACACCTGGAGTACATCCTCTGTTCCTTTCTTCTCTGTGGTACAACTAAAACACATTGGGTCTTGCATAATTTTATTTTGATATTTTGTGTTTGTTTTTTTCATGTGGCATGAAATCTTTTACAGTTTTTTTAAGGGATCGGTCTGAACGGTAGTATTCTTACCATCGAACATCAATCTTTTGTTAGCTTCATTCATTGATAGCCCACCATTGAAAAATGACATCTCCAGAATCGACTTGCTTGGTATCGAAACAGGCACAAATCCACCTTTGACTCTATTAATTGTGTTTTGATAACGCATTATTTTACAAATACAGTATGCTATTTTATTCTTACTAGATTTGCCTTGACGTTCCTGGGCCAGACTATGGTAGGAGTGGCTCAGATGTTCACGTTAGGAGTGCCTTCTAGACTGGCGGCTGTGTGGTTCCCGGCACACCAAGTATCTACAGCCTGTGCCATCGGCGTATTTGGTAACCAGGTGAGATTCTTCAAACTATCTGAATTCTACTTCCATAACTAATAATAGTACTCGGGCCAGTTTATAAAAATTTGCTGAGCAGAACAAGGTCGCTAATCCGAAACCACTAATTCAGGAAAAAGTTGTATTTAAATTAATATATCAACACTATGTAGGTCCTGTTCTGAAATGTTAACCAGGAAGTCCATCCAGCAAACCTGGAAAACCAGGAATAGCACATACATTTTCAGTTTAAGACCAGGAATAATCTGTGGATTGCAACTGATTTTGTATAAAACCTTGAAATTTGGAATAACCCCCAATAGTATATGGCTGAGCCTCAATTCATTAAAAACATCTTGGAAACTTGTAATCCAAGTTAAAACAGTGTAAAACAGCGTTGGGTCCTAATTACTATGGATTAGCAAAACGCTTGTTATAGAGACACTATGCGAGCAGATGAAATTGCACTGGTCTTAGTCAGTAAAGTTACACAGATCATCTCACTCCATTCTACACTCATATTTGGGTTAAAATACACACCTAGATTGCATCCCTATCTCAATAATTGATAATTGTGGACCAACATACCTCAAGCAAGCAGGCCGCATGTGTTGTTCGCTGCAGTCAATTGAATATGGTACCCATTACTTTGATAAAATCGTGTTAAACCATGCTGTTGCTGTTAATATGTTTGGTCGTGCTTGATTTTAATGTACCTGTCATCCTGCAATTGGCACTATACTGAACTGCCTGAATTTCTAGGACCGTTTTAGTTTTTTTCAAACTCTGTGCCACAGACTAACATTACTTTTAGGAGACTTGATGGAAGAAATAAAGATGTAAGATAACTATACGTATTGTTAATTAGGTGACCAGTACACTTAATTTATGACTAAGCAAACCACACCATATGGGACGTTATCTGTTCCATTACTTCTCCCCAAATCCAAGGGTAAATACCTTGAAGATGGAATAGTTCTTTAACACATCAACTTTATCCTTGTCAATGTGTTGTTTACGGAGTGACATGGTTTGGTATTTCAGCTAGGGATTGCCATTGGGTTTCTGGTGCCGCCTGCAATAGTGGACGATGTGAAAGACAAGTTCTTGATCGGAGAACAACTTCAACTGCTGTACTTTGGTATGGCTCTGGCCCCCACCATTGTACTAATCCTGATTGTCTTATGTAAGTTTACGATCACACTGCTATCAACCAAAATAACTAGATATAATAGTTTGTTTTAAACGTCTTTGATTCCGGGTTCTTTCAATGTCCTCAATGCCAACAACAATACCACAAAAAAAAACTAAACCAATGAATACAAACCCTTTAAGAAGTGAAATGCTTATGGAGAATAGTCAGCCTGGAATTTTGCCGCCGAAATGAGGTTTGCGTGGCCGCCGCTACAATCGCTAGTGCGGCGGCTGCGCTACTCTAAGTTCTCTTAAGCTCTCTAAACTACTCTTTCTAAGCAGAATCTTTGTATCACTCTCTCTCACTCAGTCAGTTGACTAAGGCGCGTGGTCACGATAGTCTACCTAGCGGCCGCCGCGGAAACTATTCAAAATTCAAATGTTTCCAGACTGAATTTTTTTACAAAAACGCAATACAGTATGCTATTTTTTTTTTAGTCTTACTAGATTTGCCTTGACTTTCCTGGGCCAGACTGTGGTAGGAGTGGCTCAGATATTCACTTTAGGAGTGCCTTCTAGACTGGCGCTTCTTAAAGGGTTTGTATTCATTGACTAAACTGAATTTCACTTAAACTTTGATTATTTGCTCGAAAGGAACACATTTTGATCATAAACAGTACGTTCAACAATCTTTCCAAACAAAGGTACTAAAGATACGGGACTGTAATTACTGACATATGATTTCTTCCCCTTTTTGAAGACTGGGACAAACTTTTAAAATTTCTGAGATGTTGGAAAAATATCCTCTTTTAGACAAAAGGTTTATACAGATTGTGAGCGGTGACAGAATTGCACTGATCACTGGACATACTATGAAACAGTAGGCCTACCTACCCAATCATCAAAACTAATTGAAATTGGAACAGGGGTAACCCACACAGACATCACTTTCAAAAACCACTTTTTGGGTTCAGGGGTGGCCAAAACAGATTCATCCGCTTAAACTCAAAAATATTTATGAAAACAATACTTTCTTCATATACTACGTATAGGGGGAGAAAGTAGAAATGAGGGAAAGTATAATAAAAATTGGTAGCTTGATAGTAAAATTTCCAAATGAAATACTTCAAAGGGTTATATATCAACATCCTCTATGCTTTGCATTACTCGTCTTATTGCCTATGGTTTGCAGTGTTTGAAGCCCAACCACCAATTCCTCCCAGTGTTGCTCAGCTGATTTCTCGCAAGAAAGAGAGAGAAGGCAAAGACACAAACTATCTCACCTCTGTCAAACAAGTGATTGGCAACTCAGACTTTTCCTTGCTTCTGGTCAGCTTTGGATTCAACATCGGTGTGTTCTACGCGTACTCCACCTTGCTTAACCAACAGCTGGAAGGACTACCTGTAAGTTTTAAATAGATTGCTGAGTCCTTTATAGCATACTATAAAATTGTTGTTATGTACTGTTATTATGTGACACAAATACTAGGAGTGCATTGAAAGTCACAAGACAAACCTCTGCAACTGACTGAGTTATCTATTGAATAAGTTAAAATTAAATGTTTGGCTATACACACCATTGACATTGTCAACATGGACTGAAAAATGGAACCGATTCTTTGAACATACCTTTGACATTGAATCCTACTTCTTTGTTAGATTTTAGGTTTGATTGAATTTTGTTGCAAATTAAAAAAAAATCCCATTCTCATAACCTTTAGCTTATCCTACTTTGCTTAATATGTTTCTTACACTTACTTTGTGCCTTGGTCCTTCAAACAAGCATTGGAAGATTTAAATAGGAAAACACTTAATCCAATGAAAATATTGTATAAAATGTTGTCTAGAGAATTTATTGTGTATATTAATGATCTTCTGCACAACAGTGGGGATTCGAGAACGCAGGCAGAGTCGGTCTCACACTTATCCTCGGAGGAATGGTCGGCTCAGTTGTCTGGGGCATGGTGCTGGACAAGACTCACATGTACAAGTAAGTCACATGTAAATGATTGATATGATATTATACTTTCACTAAGGTAAGAAGACATACTAATCTCATTCGTTGAAGCTTTAACTATAATTGAAAGAACTAGACATTCCACACCCACAAGGTTTAAGGTTGTCACAAGTTTGGGAAAAGTTGTCGCAAGTTTTTGAATCCAAATTGATGTTTGTTAAATTGAGCTATACTGACATAGTGTAGGCCTACTGAGTTGTTCACTATGATTTATGATGAATACACCAACTTTTTAACCAAGCTGAATTGGAAAAAATACTTGCTGTAAACTATAGTATCTTTTATGCCTCATCAGCTAGTTATCAAAGTACTGAAAACCAAGAAAGAGAATACAGCACACTCTTTGAGTGGCTCACTTAACAACGTTTGATTTGAATGAAACATTGAATCAACTGGTAGATGGGAAGTCAATTTCAATCTAACTAATTCCCACTTTCATCATTCTAGGATAGAATTACTTTTACATTTTTTTCCACAGAGAGACTACAGTTGGTATATACATCATGGCTGTGATTGGAATGTTGGGATACACGTTTGCTCTGCATTCTGAACGCTTAGCTCTAGTCTACTTCACATCAGCTTTCCTTGGGTAAATCTCTTTTTCATCTATTGCTCATATAAGAAACATTTTATATCAAGAAATTCACCGGTAAATAATTTAGAAAATTACCATCATTAACTTGTACAGTAAAATAAACTTAGGATTCAATGTGGCACTCTAGATTTCTGGATGAACCCATAAAGCATTTTAACAAAAGTAACACATAACCACACGGGTGCTAATTATACGAGGGTGGTTTTTTAATTAAGAGCTGTTTACGTAAAAAAATGTCCTCGTAGCTTCAGTAGTCACACAGTACTTTACCATTGCCAATTTGAACTTTAAGCTACTTGCGCACTTAAATTTGCACAAATTCAGATAACCAATAAGTTACCTTGAGGACTGTTGATATTTATTTATTTTTGTGTTTTAACCCCATTGGTATTTTTTAAGTTTTTCTATAAGTGAACGTTGATATTTTTGAACCACAGTTTTAATTGACAATTTACCACGCAGGTTCTTCATGAACGGCTACCTAACGGTCGGTTATGAGTTTGGAGCAGAGTTGACGTTCCCTCACGCGGAGACAACGTCGTCAGGTCTACTCAACGCAGTAGGGGAGCTGTTTGGAGTAGCAGCTGTACTTGTGGCGGGGGTCGTGCTAGAGACTTACGGCCCAACTGCTACCAACCTCGCACTCACAGCTGTGCTGGCAGGGGGGTTGGTCACCCTGGCTCCTATATCTAGAGACAGGTTTGGAAGTTAATGTCTTCATTTATATAGGTAAAAGTTATATAGATCCGGATATATCATGTAAGGTCGGTAGTGTGGGAGACAGAAAACTTTATGCAACACTATAACTCTACGATGAATATGTTTTTTGATTTTTGATGAGCAGACCTGGGTTTAGGATGGATGCCCCCCCTTGCAAGGAGGTAAGGAAAACCAGACTGGGACGGTGGCAACGTCCTGTAACCCAGGAGGTCACAAATTGTGGATATTTATAGGCATGCACTGTGGATGGGATACTCCCTGGTGTGGATTAACGTCCGCACTAGTGAGTACTACGACTATCCGCAGTACTATCCTGATAATTCGAGCAATTTGTTAATACCAAGGCAAAAACTATAAATCCTGGAAATTGAAATACCAATTTAATTTTTGTGTTTTGTACCTTTTTTAGCAAACTGGGGAATGAAATGTTAGAAAATCTTGGTGTGAAAATTCTAAGCCCATACAAATTTGGTTCTCTGGGGCTATAGCACAGTCAGCTTACATACAATGTGGAGCCTGTCAATGGGATCTAATGGTATTTATTATGAAGACTGTACAAAATACGAGGAAATATGCTAATGTGCATCTTACCGGCTACTCTAGTGATTCAATGTTGACCTGAACAACAGTTCTCTTCGACTCTTTCTTAACCGACCCAGCGTCAACCCCTGCTGTCATGACAGCTTGAATAAATGGGCCCCAAGAGGTTTTGGGTTTGTTGGGGGTTCAAGGTGGAGAAAATTCCCCTGCAAAAGGGGGAGGGGGTGTCAACTATCTCTCGGGTCTGTAGTGTGTTGCACGCAAACAGCGGGCCTGACCCCTTCTTGGATTAAGCACCTACGCTAGCAACATTTTAGGTGGGCCAACATAGTGATTTTGTGATATCTTGTATTATATGTCATATCTGTTACTGATAAATATGTGAACACATTCACTACCAGGTCTCACAAAGCCCCTCATATGGAGGAGTGTGACGGCTGGTAGTCAACATGTTAAAATTTACAAACAATATTATAAATCTTGTTCCAGGTTGCAAAGATTGGCAGCAAGTAGAGTTCACCCCGAGGACAGCACAATGAATGATTTTCAAATCTAACTAAAATGTTCTTAGGGGTTTTATAAATTAACATAGTTTCTGTACATTTTATAGAACGTTGATTAAATAATTTGTTAAGTTTTGTAGAATTTATAATCGTTACATTGCATATGATTTTTAGATGCTAAGTTTTTACAAAGGTCAGGTTTTTGTGATAAGATGACAAATAATTGAAGACAGAAAGTGATAAGATAGGTATCGCAGGGGTGTGCGAAGCAGCAAAAACTTTAGATTTGAAGCAAAGATTCGATTCAAAAGATTTTCAATTAGAATCGATGCAACTTGATTCGAAGCAATACAGAATTTTCTATTCATACTTGTCTATGGAGAGAAATAACAATACTGTAGTCTAATTCAAATTTACCACATTTGTGTAATGCAAATTTTTGTTGATGTGGTACTTGCCTATTTCATAATTTTTACTTGCAGAATCATATTGTTAAGCTTGTTACTTATTTTATAATATTGATTTAACAAATAAAGATATGTTTTGATGTGTACAAAAATACCAAATTTATCAGTCTAAAACATCAATCTTGCTAGTTAAGTATCAAGTAAAAAATGTTTAGACTTGTGTTATTTTTAGAATGATTTTGGAGTGACTTGTTTTGGCAATGTTTACAGAAGTAAAACATGTCTCACACTGCTTACACCTAACAAAACCTCTCATCATTTGCAATGTCAAAACAAAAAGTTATAAAACAATTAAAGCAATACTGTATTTACAAGCAAAGAATTCATTAAATAAGAACACCTTCGCAAAGGAAACACAACAACGCTCTGCTGTATTGCGGGTATTGCATTGGTTTTCTATAGGCGTTTTTCGTATATGGACACTGACTCCCTCATGAATTGGATCGTTTTTTGATCACCGCTGAACCGAATCGCGATTCGATGCATAAAATCAAATAGGAATTTACATGTGTTTTCGATGCATCGCACATCCTTTGATCTTTTAAGATACTTAAGGACATTATTATGGTTAGATACATTTTATGTAAATAATAGGTATGAAAAAAGAGTTTGCATGCTAGGGATAGATCAAGTGTAGGCATACAGTACAGTACTTTTGTTTAGTTTTCAATAATCTTCACCTTGAATTTGCAAACTAATTTTTACCTCATCTTTGACATAAGCTTACTAAAGTTTTTAAGAACCAATCAAGTATATACTTCTGTATATAGGTAATTTTAACACCTAAATAAATAGTTGCATTTTATACTTTGTATTATAAATAATATTAGCAGTATTTTATTAATTAGCTATAGAACCAATATTGTAATAAGTAGGCTACGTTATGAAACTATTGTGATAAATATATCAGTAAGGACTTTAATGTAATTTTAAAACATATTAAATAAGACTATATAAATAATAAAGCTATTTTGTATTTCAGCCAAGGTTTGCTGTAAGTAATTATGTGTGATTGTGTTATCAATAGGATTAAAATTTTAATTTATTGAATGTTTTGTATATTTCCATAGTGCAGTGTATATTTGTTGACATTTATGGTATTAGCTACCATATTTTTGATTGTAATTTTACATAATTTATTGCTATGTTACTTTTAAACAAAAAAATTGTTATTAAGTAAATAAAATCTTGATCGTCCGATAATCCATTTTCTTCCATCTTCTGATAATCCAAACTCTCCTGTATATTTTAGTGGTCTATTTCAAAGTTAAGAAAATGTTTTCAACTAAAACCATAACTAATTACATATTAAAACTCAACATGCAAAAATGTGAAAATAATTTCATACTTTTTTTGTGTAGCAAATTTGGCAGGAATATTCCAGAGTACAGTATGTATAGCAGTTTTTTATTCCAGTACCTCAATCCTTAGAAAAGTTTTTTGAAGTTTCACTCTATTTCTCAAAGACACGATTTCCAAACAAATATTGAAGCCTAAGATTGCTTCGATGCATATTATTATACTATTATAGCAAACTCTGGTCTTCACCATTCTTTAAGCTTTTGTAAAAACTGTTAAATGAGGTGTCACTTGAAGGGGGTTTACATTCAAAAAATTTTGGTTGTCCCCAAAATCCCCCCTTTTTAGGAACATTTAACAATTTGAAAATCATAAAATGAAACTTCCTGCTGGGATTAAACGACCACCAAATATCTCTGTATATTTACTAAGAAAATATTAGAGAGGGGAGTCTAGACTTTTATTCACCCAGTATATTGCTTTGTAACAGTTTCAATGCTTTGAGCTTTCCTTGTCCTGAAAACGCTCTCACAGTGTCACAGCCAGTCCACGCATGTAACCCAGGCAAAGCTGATTTGACACTACAGCCAACCACAAATGCTAGTCTTGTTATATTTACCAATCTGATTCGGCCACTAGAACCGCGTCTTATATACAGGTTACTCTTTATGTTGATGTCGGTTGATATGTAGAGAGCTATGGCTAACACGGCTGTATCATCAGATAAACAAATGACATTTGAAAATTCCATAGCAGCGTCCTTTATACGTAGCATCATACGTGTATCTGCTTCTTCTTGAGAACAGGCAAGTTTGTGTACTTCTTGAAAACCACTGCCAGTTATTTTAATACAATTGTTAGAGGAAGTTACGTGTAATGTATTGTTACCAATTTTCATCCTTTTACTTTCTTCTTGCCAGCTTTCAGCAAGAAACTTGGTTTATTTATGGTTTACTGTCACCACTTTGTAGAAGACTTCTCTATTTTATGATTCTGTGACCACCTTTAATATTCTTGAAGGGTATTCCTGCATCTGAACTACGACGATCTACTACGACGTTCAGCAGACTTTATTGACTTGTTTTTATACGTGTCAAATACAACATCAATTCGAGTGCTATGATAGGCTGCTTTTAAAACTTGATTGAGGATTGTATCAGTCAATTGATAAAATGTTGTATTTTCTCCATGTATTTTTTTAATTAAAGCTATCCCATCAATTATCGTAGCTGATGAAGATATATTTACATCTGCAGGTAAGCTTTCCAGGTGTTATCCCAGCACAGACTTCATTGTTTTTAGCGAATTTCCTATATATGGAATAAGCTATTACCATAGTACTCATGGTAAGACCTGGACCCGGGAATGATTTAATTTTTGTTTTTGAGGTCCCAAGAGGCCAAAAACACCATCCGTTCAAACTCACATATATATATGTGTGTGTTCGTTAGCGCGAAAACTCGAGCAAAAATGATCCGAATTTGATGAAATTCAATACATTGAATACAAATTGAATACAAACGTGTAAACCTACGTTTATTCGAACGAATTCGCAAACCAGCATATTGGACCATGGGAACGGGGTTTATGGGTTAAAAGGGGTTTCCCATTTTTGACCCTAAAAACAAAATATTTTGCAATTTCTTCTCAACCCGTTTTGTAGAGATTAAAAAAAGAAATATTTTAGTATATTGAATCGTTTTCGTATGCCCAACGGTCACAGAGAAAATTCAAAAATAGTGTAATTTAAATTCCCATGTTATTCTTATGGAGAAAATTAAAACTGTCTTGTAGTTTACTTGTTTATGGATATATATTGATAAAATTTGGCAAATTTATTTATTTCATCCTATACTATTGACGTATGGTCAAAAAACACTTTTTACCTTCCCCGTAGCAGCAAACCTAAGCACTCGTTAAATCTAATGTTTATTTAAATTGGGAATAAATATGTCTTATTTATGGAAATGTTGTTTCTTCCGGGCAGCAAAAACCGAAGGGTATATTATAGAAATGTATACTTAAAAACAAGAAAAAAATATTGAAATTGTTAAAAAGCTATTTTGAAAACATAAAAGTATTTACCTGAAACATAATATTTTTTCTGCGCTCAGTTATTTTTTTGAACGGTAGATTTTAAAATTTAATTTATATTACTTATCTTTTCGGTAGAATCTATTCATGCAATATATCAAGTTGAAGAGAATTCATTACACTACATATCTAGTGTGTTATAGCTTGAATGCACATATAACTCTTAAATAATCTATTAATTAAATTGGTTTTGACATAAAAATTAGAAAAAAACTATTAAAATTTACTTTATTACTAACTAACGGTTAATTTTATCGAACTAGTGTATATGACAACATTTGTAACACATATATAGAGCTTTAGTTTAAAAAAAGAAACAATGAAATAGGGTGGATAGTTCCAGAGATATAGCTGGTTTTCTAAAACTCAACATCCGCCATCTTGAATTGGCCGCCATTTTTATTAGCTACCACTTCGAGATGGCAATCATGATTTTGTTACATCCTAATAAACCCGTCTAACTATGGTGAAAAGGAAAATCAGTACCCCCAAATTATACCGACATGTTGGCTGGCCCATGGACTATACTAACTTATAAACTTGTAGGTATTTGTTACTATTAACTATTTTGAAATAAGAAGTTTACATGTAAAGTGGTGGGGCGAGGGATTGGGATTGTATACTTCGGGGGCGCCAATGACTCACATGTTCAGGGACCTTGCACGGGCCCTGATTGTTTACATCAAAACAAGGCTATACTCTGTTCATTAAATTTAGGCGGTTTAAGGGAAGCGACTATATTCCCTCCACCTTACCCTAACTTTGAAACAACAGCTGACAGCTTATCAGCTGATATTATAGACTAAGGTAAAAAAGTGGCGGGGAAACCCAGGAAACCTTCCCCTAGAACCACCTAAATTTTGTGAACCAACTATAGTATATTGCAAGGCAACTGGGTGACAAAGGTTGAAACTTCTTTTGTGAAAACAACATTCATTTTTTGTAAATTTCACAAATAAATTAAGATGAGCAAGAAACTATCAAAGTAGTTTCTGTTGTGGCGATATTAATGGCTACCAAAACCCTGCTACCCTGCAATGAAAAACACATCACAAAAGAACATATCCAGAAGTCCTATACTTAAACTATACTTAGAAAGAAATCATACTTGAAGAAACTATACTTAATTCCTCGTACATTGTACTGCTTGTCTAGAGTGTCCATAAGCTATGTATCCAAGAGTTTCAATGATACCATTACTACTTGCCTTAAAAACATCAGTATCTAGTTCACCCTTCTTTACGTTTTAACTGTTCTCATGCTTCTCACTACTAAATTTGAATATACCATAGTCAAAATTAAATTTATTAAGTCAAAATACCATTCGGTAAAAAGCATAAAGATACTGAAATAAGTCAAATTAGGTTAGAGCACCTTCACAAGAAAAATGTACCCAACATATATGACATTAAAACATGATTTTTTCCAGGAATTGTTGATACTCCCTATATCAACAACCCCCCAGGCAGTAGGTGTAGGACTATAAGACCTGTAATTCTTCTGTGAATGTAAAATGGATTCTAGAGAGATGCTTTCTATAAACACATTAAACAGTAAAACGGATTCAGAAAGCAAACTAATAATTTCAACTAACAAATTTATTGACTTCCGTAACCTAAAATTAAACAGCTAACTAATATCAGGTAACTAATCTATCAGCACCAAAAATATCTGCAAGTAATCAATTCTAGGAAATGATACGGTATTTGTACTAGTATAGGTAAACTATTCTAAGCAGATGTGTTCGCCAAAAACAAGTCTAACTAATTTCCTTGCACATTGAGAAAGTTCCATTACATCAATACATAAAGCACAATTTGTAACAAGCACGATTAAAGGCACTATATTACATATTGCACACGTCTAAAACTCAATAGCAATTTGGTACTTGTATTTTGGACAATTCTACAACTGTGCAATTGTGCTTGTGAATATCCAAACACTCAATTAGCACTGTTACATCTTTAACTATCTAAGGACTAGCTTTCACAATTAAAGCTTTAACCAGCTTCAGCCAAAAGATCTGGCAACCCTATTCTAAAGTAAGTTATTTCTCTACTACTGATTGTTCGAAAGATATCAATTAATGATTTCATTCAATCGTAAACTATCACAAAATACATCCCTTGCAGGGTAAAACTGTAAAAATGTAACTGCTCCATGTTTCTTAACATAGCCTGTCTGTTAAATACAGAGCAAGAATAGTACTGGGCAGCTAGCAACAAAACTTTTGAACAAATATAATTCCTAAGGTTCATTAGTCTTTGTTCTACCAACCATCCAAACTTATGGAGGAACTGAATTTTAAAACTATCATTTGAATATCTATAATAGTGATGTTAAATTTGTAGGTTTGAAACCCATCCAACTAATTGTTACATCGTTGACTATTCTCGCTCCCCCCAATCCCCAAGAGAAAAGTTCAAAATAAGCTCATCATAAACCAAATATTTAAAATCTATATCACATTGACAATTTCATCGTCTCTAAAGTAGGAATGTTTCTTACGCTAAGGTCAACAATTAATATCATAAACATAAATATTGGTTAAAGGCTTTCGGTGGACCCAGAGTAAATGCGGTTGTTACGCTATCAGATCGTGATGCTACGTGGTTGGTCGCCGCTCTAATGATGGCCGCACTCTCGAAGCTCTCGGTTTCCGAGCGGCAATGGAGGTCTGTAGTTACAGATGATGTTTGCATCTTCAGCGTCGCAGTGGACTTCATCGGCTCCGACTCGCTTGATGCTCCTGAACACTGATAGCTGCAATAAATATAAAGTGTAAGAATTATCCTAGTTCTGCACATACT